GGTCATCTGGCAGTCTTCGCCACCTAAATTAGGACCCGGAGACTGCCAGATGACCCCGCTCGGAGCGCCGCCCACCGGAGCAGCAGTGACGTGACGCTCGGCGAGGTAAGTAAGAAGTACAAAAAAAAACATAGCGCAAGCTTCGGCGCTAGGCATCGGGGCATTTTGACAAGTACAAGTACTTGTCAAAATGCCCTGTATCGGGCCCGATTCCGATGCTAGCATCGGTATCAGGACATCCCTAGCACAAGTCCAAAGCTCATCTACACAGGCCCTTAGAGGGTGCATAGACCATCATGGGTGGATCATCACATTTTAATCTTTGAGCAATTCTGGACCTCATCCCTAGTCAACTGTAAACTCTGAACCGTCATCCACACTGCACCATTGCAGTCTATGTAAAGCATCCGACTTGCATTCGATGTGCACTTCAAACAGTCAAAAGAAGGAAAACAACCCCTGTCTACACAAGCCCTTTAAAACTCAGGCTTCCAGCATTTCCTCTCATTGTGGGTTACACTTACAAGTTGTGATGATTGTTTTTCATTTTTCTATTTTTTTTACAGATAAGCCACGGGGCAACTGACCACAAATTATCTGACAAAGTTTCCTATCCATTCTTTTTTCACACAGTTCATAATGTTCACGTTTATTTTGAAGTAATTGCAGATGTATTAAAACATTTTTCCTGGAACTGGGTTGACATTATCACCAGTAATGATGAGGCTGGAGACAGAGAACAGCAACTTCTTACCAAATACCTTGAAGGTTTTGGCATTTGTGTAGCGTACATATACCAGATAGTCACCTATGCACATGTAGCTTTTATTACGAAAACTGCAGCTAAACCAGTAAAAAGGAAATCGCCTGCACATATTATTATATTTTGTGGAACAACAAGTTATACCTACATTGACGCTATAAATTTTAAGGAAGGGCATTTTAGAAAACAGACTTTTATATTTCCTCCTTATTTAATGGCAAATGTGGAAATATTTCATATTTTATGTAAAACTTTTAACTGTAGTTTGGGACTATTACCAATAATGTCTTCTAATTCTGTAAACAGTATTTATTATCCATTGAGTGATACTATTGGAAAGGAACTGAACTATTTTCTGCTGAAGATTCATCCTTCAACATCCCCAGATGACAAGTTGCTTGAAGATCTTTGGATGAACTACCACCATTGTTTATCACCACGCCCTCTAAAAAACAAGTTAATTAATTATTTGTTTGACCTGAAGCTACATAACTGCACCGGGAAGGAGAGTATAAAGGGTATCCCACATGTTGTACCAAGCAGGGTTTCTTATACTATCTACTATGCTATAAATGCCATGATTAAGGCAATATCAGCCATGCATTCTTATTTAAAGGCAAAGTCCCCTGAATATAACTTAAAAGCTATAGAATATAGACACCAGGTAATTGTAAACATAACTACATATATGTAAGATAAAATATAAATATAATTTAAAAAAAATATAAAAAAACTCACCAATGTGTTTAAAGACTTTACTTGTGAGGTTCTGTGTTGGACCCCTGCAGCTGATGTATATGTTGGCCTTTATGGATCTTTTGTGATTGCGTGCATTACCCCACTTTTCTGTCCTCTGGTGTCACTTAGACAACGGCACAAGGTTGCAGCGCTCTTGTTTTTTGCATTAGCTCTACAGCTCCATTTCCTTTGCTTGTATACAAGGGTAGCACACCAAAAACATCCAATACCTTTTTACTGTTTTTTTACTGTTTTTAGTGCTTGACATGGGAAATACCATAGCATACATATTCTTTACCAGCCGTATATCTTCTGGAATAGAAATATTTTGTGAATTTCTCTCAAAATAGATTTTCTAGCTCTACTCTTTTTCTAGATCTGATCTTTTCATTCCATTCTGCATTCCTCTCTATTATACACGTTTGTATACATTTTCCTTTGCCTATTTGCATCTGGCAGTCCCAACTTGCTATTTCTAAAGTGCTCCTAAAATGAATCCCTGAAGAACACCATGATGTTATTTCAAGACACAACGTGGTGCCTTACCTTAAAGGTTGCCGGATCCTTGGGTGTTTTAGATGTCCTTTGAGATCCTATTTATTTAAAATCTTTTCCACTGGATCTTTTTGCTTGTCTAAAGGTGGCCATACACTCTACAACCATCGCAAGACCTTAGTCTTGCAATGGTTGTACAGTGATTAAAAAAACGTACGATCTGCCCATCTTGGACAGGCAGATCATACTCTAGATCATCGCAAGCCCTGAGGGACGGGCTTCCGATGACCGCAATGCTGAACGGGCAGCGTGCGCGTGCGCACACCGGCCCGTTCGGCATTTGTCTCCCGAGCACCGTTCTAACCAGCCGAAAATCGTACGATTTTCGGCTGATTTTCTAGCGTGCTCCTTAGACAAAAGATCGTACGAGAATCGAGCAGTGTATGGGCACCTTTATAGTCCCATCTTCATCTATTTGTCTCACTTAAGACATCCTCTAGTTACCCAGGCCAAAGGTATGGTGCTGTTTATTGCTTATTTTATTAAGTCAAAAAAGGATTATAGAAAAAGTAGGGCTTTAATGGCACCATATGACAAGTCCAATGAACCACAAGATAATTTAAATAAAAATGATTATTTTATTGATTACAAATGCATAAAAACGGTTATATTAAAATTCATATAGATGTGACATGATTGAAAGATAGCCCCACAGACCACTCATTCCATAATTAAGGCATATCATGTAACCAAAACATCTGTTCACAACATTCTCTTATTTTATAAGTTTTCTTTTTTTGTATTAGTGGTTAAATATCCATATATTCCTAAGACTTCTGTGATTTATGACTTATATGTATGATATCTTTTCAATAAAGATTGCATTCCAAAAAAAATGAATCCCATTTCCAACATGTTTCGCCACATTTGTGGCTTGTACAGGGAAAAAGTCTCAAGTGAAATTGTGCCACTGTGCTGAAAGTATATAACATAATTACCATTTTAGATATAACCAGTTGGGTCCAACAGATTCTAGTTAAATGGCAAGGAAAATGGACTGAAGGGACTTCATCTTGAACTACTGTATAACAAATGCAGCATAAGGATTCATGTAGCGGGACACCACATCCTCTACCAAAAATGCGTCTTTCCCCCCTTTTTTCTTGAATATTGCAGTATAATAAAAACAACACTGTGATAAATTCTGTATTGGGTTGAGGAATACCTTTTATTATATTTTAAAACGTGTGGTATATGTTTTAAGTGAATTATGTCATAATAGAATTCACGTGATTTGATATGATTTTTGTTACTGAAAACCCCATGAACTAATATTTCCCCAGATCCACTAACACCTCACCCCTCTACCATCCATAAATTCAGATCAATAAAATATTAGGGGATTTTATGCTGCCATTTATGGACTATACCTCATAGTATAGCGACTCATACATCAATTGTCACGGTCTAGGGACCGGGGCACTAGGGTACGTAAGCTCTGGGGTTTGGGGAGTTGGTAGGAGTCACAGATAGGAGGGATATCGGGGATGTTGGTCGCAGGGAGAGTAGCTTAGAGGCACACCTAGAAGCAGGAAGTAAGCAAGAGATGTGCATTGCACATGCATACAAAGAAGCAGGATAACAGAGGGAAAAGTACGCAAAGAAGCACAAAGTGATGTATGCACACAGGGGGTGTGCAGGCAAAGACAAATCCGACACAGCCACAAGGTAAGAGAGGAGCACAGAAGTAAAGGGGTGACAGCGAAGCATAGGAAGATACACTGGAAGGTAAGTGACGGAATTGAAGTATAAGAAAGCAAGTAAATAGGAGAATGGTGAACATTGTTTTTAAAGGTGTCTATGTCCATTTTATTGTAATAAATGAACTTTATTTTACAACAATACTATGTCTGACACCTCTAAAAGCCCCTAGTATTTTATTTTATATGATTTTGTTATATTATGTGATGTTTGTTGTATGATATATAAGACACTTTTAAAGTCCAATTAGCTTGGGTCCGAAACATAGGCCTGGGTCGTGTACTACTATAGATTTATAATTTTGTTGAGACATTTTAGGTCTAAGACAGTCTCCTTCTTGAAGAGAAAAATCATTGAATAACATTTTTTTAGCAGGTAGAACAAGGAAGCATGTTTGTATTTTCCTATGTAGACACAATTTTCTAAAGCTTTCACTAGGTACGTCTTGCTGAAGGAATCTTGAGTGGGTGTGGATTTGAAGAGTCATCAGAGGAACTTTAAATTTGTATTCCGGACCCATGAAGTTAACCCTCTGTTCACATCCTGACAAAAAGATATTGCAGTGTACACATCAAGCCATAACTTTTTTCATTACTTTTTTCATTACTTTAAATAGTGGCAGAAATAATGGATTGGATTTTTACTGCAATCTGGGCAGGGCATTCCTCCACTTCCTCTACTGGACTGCTCACCATGTGTAAGACCATGCCTGGCAGCAGAGATACGACTGCGCATGCGCATAGGCCTGTTCACCGTCGGATGCGCGAAGTCGCGCTCACATGGCACACAGGAAATGACTCACTCTGTCTGGGGAATGATCCTATTTAAGCTGGCCAACTTCCAGAATCATTGCTGAGTGGTCGTCTTTCAGCTTTAGTGTGTGTGTTCCTGTACCTTGCCTGTTGCTGTATTATTGTTGACCCGGATTCCTTGACCTTGCCTGACTGCTGCCTGCCTCTGACTTCTGCTTGTCCCTGGATTCTCCTTTGCCTTCTCCTTTTGTACCTTGCCGCCCGATTGTTGCTGACCCTGGCTTGCCCGACTCCGCTCTGCTCCAGCCGCATCAACACCTGCTTCCTGCTTCACTGAAGACGGGTCTCAAGGACCTGCCCAGGCCCAGTGTCCTGCATCTTCCGGCACCGGTGCTGCCCGCTGTTCCCCCACCTCCTGTCTCCACATTCAGGGGTGTGGAACTCGTGCTGCAAAGGAGGCCTCCTCACAACTCGGCTCCCCACCAGGTATGTGACACCATGTTTTACCACATAGTAAGTGAAGAGAACTGACCAAAAGCAACACAGACAGAAACAAAAATGCTTTTCAAAGTAGAACAGGGTTAGCTTAGAAAATCTGTCAGATTCTTGTGTCCCTGTTGCCACTTTTATCTCACTTCCTGTCTGATAAAACCATTGTTATTGAGACAGAAAACTACCCAACAGAGCTCAGGATAGCAGTAAATCGAGACAAGGGTTCTAATCTCCCCCTCTCTCTATCTAAAACAAAACTATCTGTGAAAAAATACAATAAGGCAACTGGACTTGCTGTATTTGTCTTGAAGATGTTTCACTGGGCACCATACTAGCTTTCTCAATTCTGAATGATTAGCTAGTCGGATGAACAGGCAAATGTTTACAAGAAAAATACAGCAAGTCCAGTTGCCTTGATTTATTTATTTTTACAGATATACAATGACCTGGATGAATGAGAACCTTCGCAGACAAAAACAAAAATGTTTTTACTTGCCATACTGTACACTTCGAACTACCTCCCACTGCCCGATGCGAACAGGCACACACTCAAAAAGATTTGGTGTTTTCCTACATGGAAAAGGTAGTTTTGGGTTAGGCCAACTTCAAGAAAGATAACTGTATGCACTTACATGTTTTTTTTTCTCTTGAAAGCTACACCGATTTGTGAAATATGTTTTTATGAAAAACAAAGTTGAGGAAAATGTTTTCTTTAATGAACTTGGAGAAATAATGAGCGAGTACTTTCTCTGTAACCTGCAGTGTGATTCAAATTATAG